TTCGCATAGCTGTAACGTATTGTTATTTACCACCTTGTTTATTTACACTTGCAGCGCGTATCCTTCAATCTGATCAGCACGTTGAATAGTGGCAGTACATGATCTCGGCGATCAGCTGATTGTCGACACCTCTGCCGTTTGCATTAGATTGCGGCGCTTTTAAGTAATAAAACAGCGAAAATTCAATTTCTTTCGTTTTCTGAGTTTTGAGACAATCTTCAGTGAATTTTCCTTATCTCGCGAGTAGAATCTTGGCTTCAGAAAACTGTATCGTTCCATAACTGTAACTTTTTTGGTGATCGCATTTTTTTTTATATACTTTGCTTTATATCTTTCATTCGTTTCCCGAGAACGAGATACTGTTGTTTCCGAGTTGTGCTCTGTGATGGTGTTTTCCCTTTACTTTTGTCGTTTGTTGTCATTGTGACGATGGTTGAGACTATATACCGGAACACGTTTTCAATAAAATTCAGTTGAAAGTTGCGCCTTGTTGTGTCCTCCGTAACTTTTTGGTGATCGCGATTTTTTAGGAATATTTTGCTTTATATCTTTCATTCGTGGTGACGACAAATCGTAACGACTACTATGTTAGATTCGTCCATTGCTGTATCGGGGCAGGCTGGGGCAGGTGATGCGAAGAGACGACCGTTCTTATCGGCACGATGTGATGTACTAGTGGGAGTTTTTTTTTTTTTTTTCTGAACTCGGCAGTGAAGTCCGTTTGAGGCTGCAGCGGATGTTCAACGACGGTACAGTGCAGTTCTGTCACCTTGCTGATAGCAACGAGTACTGTCGATGCGAGGACTCTTGACCTGACCTCTCGACGACTTCTATTCGAAGATTTCCGGGCATTTTCGCAGCTGCCGTGGCGAGTTCGTCACTGTTTTGAACTTCATCGGTCTCAGGCTTGACTTGGTTTTAGTAGTCATCTTACCCAGAGCCGTGTATTGAGAGTTACCTGCCTACTTATATCCATGATGTTTTGTCTTCAGCGATGTAGCGAGTAGAGTGTCCTTCTCGCGTTCGGTGAGATTTGGGGCCCCCGATGGCTCCTTCGCCTCAAAATGTGAGCACGAAAACTACTACCGCTGTCAAAATATCCTGTTATCAACCGATATTAAACACACAATCAAAGATGTAAAGAGCATTCGTGTTTATTTGAAGCTTTGACTTCTGTTATTGAAAGTTAAACGAAAAAATGATTGAATTTGGAGGCCTTTAATTTGTTACTCACCGAAGAAATACAGCGAAAAGCAGACGCCGACGACAACTACTACGGCAGTTTTTCTTTTTTTTTTTTTTTTGTTTTGTTTACATCACGTGATTCCTCTCCGCCAATCGTATTCGTCGCTCTGAGCATTCCCTAGTTTGCTCTGTTTGTCCCTAGAGTCCCTACGCAAATCCAGCGTTTAGCTAGGGGCGCGTCTGTAAATCCGGCTTAACGTTGGTGCAACCGGATTTTAAACCCGTGCTTACCTAAGCTCGGTTTAGGGCGCTAAGCCGGCTTAGGAAAGCGCCGCTTTGGGTTAAGGTAAGCGGCGTTGGTGCAACCGGCCCTTAGAGGTTGGAAAAAGTAAGGAAGAGACAAAACATGCATCACGTACAGCCCCGCTCGCGAACCTCGAGGGGTTGAGCTTTAACAGGGAATAGAAACCAACGGAACGAAAACAACGCGCACGTACCCTAGCTTTTGCAGCGACCGAACCAGCGACAGAGATACATACAGGCTACGAGGAGAAAATGTGTTTACGGAAACGAAAACGCGTTAATGTTTAAATAAACGTAATAAAAATAAATTACACGATGCCGCTACTTCTTTGACAGCTCTGCTTTCTAAGTCTGTTGCTGCAACTCCAATAAAACGGTGCGTTGTCCCTCCTGTTGCGTGGGCTTCTACCAGAGGTCGGCATATTAGATCGCCCTCACTCACCCTCACAGCCATACTCAGCTAAGCCCCTCACTCACCCTCACCCTCACAGCTACACTCACCTTCAGCCCCTCACGCACCTTCATCCTCACCAGCCACACTCGCCTTCAGCCCTTCACGCACCCTCACGCACACATTGCCCTCACGCCTTCACCCACTCATTGCCCTCGCGCCCCTCACCGCCCTCATACCCCTCGCGCACTCATGGCCCTCACGCCACTCACCGCCCTCACGACCCTCACGCACTCAACGCCTTCACGGCCCTCACTCACCCTCACTCATGAATTTTTCTGGTTGAGAAACTCACTCACCCTCACCTCACCTGTGAAGATGAGGGTGTGTGAGGGTGAGTGAGGGCCCTCATGAGTGAGGTTTGGCGAGGTATAGCTTCTACAGAAGCCCGTAGTGAAGCAGGTTCTCTCCGTCGCGATCACCTCAATTCTTGGGGGAAATGAAGTCGCGAGTTCGACAGTGATCGTTCTCAAGTTGCCAAAAAACACTTCCCGTTCGGGACACAACCCTTGCTTCAGTTTCCTCACCCTCGATCAACAATGCTGACCTTGCAGGGGCCTGGCCAGGTCGACCCGAATAGAACAGAACCTTTTTTAGGGGACGAACCTTTATGCGGCAGATTTGCCCCCCTGACGAACAGTCCTCCAATGTTCCGCTGTGACAGACGGGCCTGTTGACAGTCGTCCTGTGACAAATCGCCATGTGACGAATGGACCCCAACAATTCCAACGGTCACGATAGTTTCATTAACGCGGTTCCAAGGCCAAATTGCCGACAGGTGCGTTTCATTGAACTGCAACTCTACCACACACAAAAAAAAAAAAAAAAAAAAAAAAAAAAAACGAGTAAATAATCGAGTCAATTCTTGTACTGGAGACAGACCAACAGGCTGTTGACAAACAAGCTTGCGTTTGCCGGCAGCAGCACCACCGCAGTGCCGTGACACCAGGCAGCGAAGTATCGTCTGCTACTTTTGCAGGGGCTGTGGTGACGTCACAACACTGAGCTCCAATTGGTTCTGATTGGAGGATAGTGGGTAGATCTCAAGGCAGCTTGCTTTGAGGTCTGCTTACCATCCTTCAATCAGAGCCAATCGGAGCTCAGTGTTCTGACGTCACCACAGCCCCAGCAAAAGCAGCAGACGATACTTGCGCTCCGCATATTGTAGTCGACTTAATTTTCGCGACGGTCCAATTTTCCAAGGCACAAACACGTACAACCAAGAACACGCATACGAAAAGCGCGAGTCACTGGGCCTTCAATGTACACGTGATTAGTTTAGCGATGACAGAACAACTCAAAAAACAGTACACGCTCTTTGATTGGTACCGTCGGCTCGTACCGACGGCGACGCCCGGAGTGAAACGACCGGATGGCGGAGTACCTCACACTGGGTCCCAGACAGGTAAACCCCTCCCTTTCTTGTTTTCTGTTTTGTTTTAGTTACGGGTCCGCGAAGACTGGTTCGAATCGAACAATGCTTTGTCATTTACAGTCTTCGCAGTGCTAGGGAAACCTGTACACAGGCTCTCTTTGCGGAGATGGCGGAGCGCTCTTCGATTTGAAGCAGGATTCGCACACACCTAGTTCGAATCTAAAACAGAGTACACTCTCGTTTTCCTCTAAGTCCTAAATGAACAGACGAAGCTTCACAGTCATCGGTTCAACGCAGGAATAATAAAGTTCACGATCGCAAAAGTGATACGCAAACAACACTCCACGCTCAGCTGAGTGGCATGACCGCAAAAAACGTAAAAAAGAAAGCACGCGATGAGCAGCACGGAACACAACATGCGCCGCTGTTTTACAATGAAATAAAAAACGCACAAAAGCGCCGGAGTGACAGACGCACCCGCTGGCATCGTCTGCCTTTTTAACGTTGCAAAACAGACGCATAGATTTGCAGCTCATGGGTAAAAAACGCGCTTACCACTATACGTACAAAACACAAACAAGCGCGGCTGTTTCATAATAAAATAAAAAACGCACAGCAAAAAGAAATAAAAAAAAAAAAGGACACGTATTGTACGTTAGCGCCGGAGTGACTAACGCGGCCGCGGGCGTCGTCTGCTTTTTCATTGTTACAAAACATACGACATAGTTCTGCAGCTCATGGGTAAAAACGCGTTTACCACTATACGTACGTACACATACACCGCGACGTTCCTTCCGATAAGAAAAAGTCGAAATCGCTGTTTTAGAAACGCGTTCATCGGAAAAGAAGTCGAAACGGTACCTACCTTGCGAGCTGCAGAGCCGCTTCGTTTCTTTTCACCGGCAAGTCACAGACTGCCAACGACCGCAACTTCAACACGCCAATAACACGCCATATCTTTCCCAATTGCCTTCACTCTCGTTTCCTCAGTCAGCGCGGTTTAAAGATAGCGAACGCTGGCTTATCTCGCTAAGAAGGGGTGTGTGGCCTTTTTGATAGAAAGACAATGATCGAGAACATAGCGCCCAACACACAGCTCCCGAGCGTCCATCCACTACGACAGTGACACAAACCCTTCTGGCCAAGGTTGACCATCAGACCCGAAGGCCAAAAACAAGCTTAGCTCACGCCGGACCTTCATTAATTATTTATTTTATCTGCTTTGATCGTTCACTTCGGCGTCCGTCGCCGCAGCGTACAGGTAGGCACAAAGCGCACGCACCTGCCGTTCGAGCGTTCGAGAGTAACACTTTCTAGAGTAGCAGTCCCATCGAAAGCCAACTACGCTAACAATCGCAATGAAAGTTAATTTACATAAACCTGTCGGGCCCGTCGAGAGCGACAAACGTCTCGAAAGTACGGATTCCCGAAACCAAATCCGCCGAACCCAGCAATTCCCAACAATTCCGGTTTCGGCCATGTTGACACAATGTTGCTTGCGCAGATCAACTAGATTGGCTGAAACGAGCGAAAGTTTAAAAACAACCGTTTAGAAACGACTACCAGACGGATCAAAATGTCATCGCTAAAATTACTTGCAGAAAACAACTGACAGTGATGTCATATATTGTGCAAAACATCACTTATCGAAAAGTTTTTACGACACGTTTCACGTAGCTATCGGCAGATGGCGGGGCGAGCCCAATGCCCGCCTTTTTGCAAGCAGATTGTTTACGTCAGTTGTTGCAGTTGTTGCGATGATTACAGCGTGAACCGTCCGATAAGTGTACCAAATAAGACACTCATAACTTTTATATGGCTTCCTCGCACTATGTGTAGTACGTGTGCTGTCCTGCCTTGCCCGTACGGTCACGAGGAAGGATCAAGATGCCTCCGGACAACGCAGCATCGCCGCTCGAGTACGTCGACAACACGCCGACAAGAGGTCCGCATTTTTCTTTTAATTCATTCCAGTTTTTCTATCGCGTGAATGGAACGTAAGAGCACCGACCCGTGTTAGCTGCGTCTCTTCCACTCTAAGAACCCATTCAATCTTTTCGATAATTTTTAACAAGTTCATGAAATCATGCCCGCTCTGCTACATTGCTACGTTTCATGTTTACTTTCAGAACAAAGTTCGTTCTTCCTAATGACATTTACTTGTTTTGTTCCGCTGTGTAGGGTTTCTACGTCGCAGCAAACCCATCCCAACATTATAAAAGAAAAAAAAGAAACGAAAAAAAAAAGGATAAAAAGTAAAAGATACAGGTGTCACTTCAGGAAAATGTCCCACAGGTGTCTGCAATCCCGTAGACGTGATTAAAACGAGGCGGTCAGTTACCATTTTACTCCGCCTCTCAAAGTATGAGTGTACCACGATTATAGATTAGATTAATGTTGTAATTAAATCGTTAAACTGCAGGTTTTATACTACGTTACTTTCCCGATTACATTCACAAGTCGCGTGACTAAAGCCATTCATCTGACGCTTAAAAAGTAACGATTACTGGCAAGTTTATTTAATTAAAAATTAATTAATTACTTACGTGGCTAGTAGAACAACTACCAAATTGTGCCGGTCCGAAAAATAAAAAAGTATCGATTATTAATTCATCACTATTTCTGCCGTTTGCATACTCAACAAGGTTTCTGCATAGAGGGGATGACAGCAGTGACGTCACATAATTTACGCCATATTCATTTCAAATAATTGAAAGAACGAGTGATCTAAAAACAGGCTTGAAATTGAGAGTAAATTCTGCGGCTCGGAGGCAATACATTTTCAGTTGGCGTTGCTGGATCTTACGTACTCAATATGCAATAACCCGTAAAATTCAGTAAATTATTGAGGAGTTTCAGCGACGGTGTCACCGCCCTGGCGGCCGGTCGCCGAAAGAGAACGAGGGGGATAGGTTCGCTGGGCGGTGGCTTTGTGTATATGCGTTGGTCGCGAACGTAGGCTTATAAACTTCGGCAGCAAGAATATTACGCGGCTCTAGTGTTTCGGTACGAGCAACAGAGGTGACACGATCTGCTACGACCAGCTACGACCACCCGCCGCAGCGATGCAGGCGTCGAAGGAGCGCAACCTGTGTACTACGCTGTCAGCCGCCGTCGCCCGACGCAGATCGTTCGGCATTCAGGGCTTTCCGCCCCGGGTTCTTCGCTTGTACTTGGAACCGAGTATTATTTACTGTGCTTGTGTATGTGCTCAGTGGCTGGATATGGACCTCATAGAGCAGTTCTTCAGACTCAACAGCGATTCAAAGTTGACGGCGGAAGGGCTTGCGGCAACGCTTTCGGTTGGTTCACGGCTGCGACGACTACACGGATAAATTTTAAGATTGGTGCTAGCAAGGTGGGCCATAGTCGCTTTATGTTGACACGATTTTGAGTGTAAGTACTCCGTGCAAAGGCGAATCTATCGCGTTTCTAATCCGCCTTTGTTTTTGTTGTTTTTAGCACGCACGACCGACTGCTAAGCAAATGCTTCTGTACCGATCATGGAGTGAATGTCTTCGGCCTTACATTGCGGAACGCCCAATAAAAAGTCATATTCGTTCAGCAAGAAAACTTCCCTTTCGAGTGACCTTCTGATTGATAATTTCTCCCGTACTTAAGTGCTTTAATCAACACGATCGATTAAGTTTGCTTCCCTAGTTAGGACTTTTTGTGCTACATGCGGCACTAACGCTTGGCACGATGTTTGCCACTGGTGGTATTGTGAATTGGTTTACTTCCAAAGCTAACAGTGTGACAGGTGGGACCATTCAATTTGCTAAAAATGTGATGATATGGGAATTTCGTTGCATAACTAGCGTTTTACGTTTAAGATTGATAAGAAACATGCTCATGTGATGATGCATGTCTACAGCATAAGCTTTGCAGATCCAGAATAGATGTGCTATAGGCTACAGCCTCAAGGTGTTTAATGGACCAAATTGGTGATTACACGGCAATAAATGTTGTGGTGAAAAACTGCCCATTGACTCGGTGAGTTTTGATTGTGACCATTGGTGTGCTGTTGGCAAATTAGATAATGGCACACCTTTTCCCTGACCATCTGGCTTCAAGGGGCATTGCATCTAGATGTGCTCAAATATCTTTATTTCAAGGTTCAGTGGACCCCTCTGCATCATTACAGGAAGGCAGTCTCAAGCCACAACAAACAGCAGTGAATATACAATGCATAATAACAGGCACCAGTGTCCAGGCGTATAGTCCGCAGTAATCAGTTTGAGCCTAAAAATGTTTCTGTTTTGTTTAGATAGTTTGCATTTGTTGTATAATCCGCAGGGCCCGATTTCCGCGCCCAGTGCATAGTCCGCCAAGCTGGTGCGTTGTGTCTTCGTGCTTTTTTTCCTGGGTGGCATTTTCTTCAGAAGTTCTTCGGTGAACCTGAGCCTGAAGAACTGCTTTTGAGGCCCATATCTAGCCACGGAGCACACACAAGCACAGAAAATAACACTCGGTGCCAAGTACAAACGAAGCACCTGGGCGGAAAGCTGTGAATGCCAAACGAGCTGCGTCGGGTGACGGCGACTGACTGCGTTGCGCCCCTTCGACGCCTGCATCGCTGCGGTGGGTGGTCGTAGCTAGTCGTAGCGAGATGATCTTCACTTCAAGCAAGAAATCTTGTTATACCATAGTCAAGATATGTGTGCAAGTGTTCGACGACGTGGGCTCTCTCACGTTGGTGCAGTTGTCATCAAGAAAGGTGCATATCAACAATGTTGCGTGTTTGAGGCTGAAACTATGACGCATACTTATCTAAACCTAAATTTATCGGTCTGCGGCTACAAACATTTTCGTTGACGTTGCTTAGATGATGTAACCGTTCAGGCCTCGCATTAAATGGTGTTGCGACTCCTCGGTTGTGTATGAAAACCTATTTTTGCCCTAATAAAAGACATTTCCAAAAGGACATGTGTCTTCTGCTGATACATATCTTCCAATTTACAATGCAGAGGCAAACAGAAAATCAACCGCATACATCTACCACTTAGCATAAGCACCTTTGGCATTCATTCTTGAGCACACTCAAATATCAGCTTAGTTTGGTCTTGTTTTAGAAGCTTTGCCCTGTTCTGTAAAAATAAAACAGTTAAAAAAGCTTTACCTTCGTTCTCCTTCTTGCATTTAATACAGACTTGTTTGTCAGCAGATATCACCGTGGCACATACAACTCGAATGACCGATGAGACTATTGCTATTACAATAAAGCTTTCCACAAGAGCCAAAACGAGGCTTGTAGGGGTGCAAAAGCACATAGAAATGAGATTGGCACTTCCGGGGATTGTTTACATTACGCGTAAAAACAGGACGACCGGCGACCAGCTGATCGCAAGATAACACCAAGGATACCGATGTTTCGATACGCAGGATAAAGACCTCAATCGTCCCTTGTATGCTGCAGTTGTCATACTTTCTATCCAACCGCTTTTTTGCTCAATTAACTAGAACAACCGAAGAGTTCGCGACACCTTTTAATGCGAGGCCTGAATGGTTACATCATCTAAGCAACGTCAACGAAAATGTTTGTAGCCGCAGACCGATAATTTTAGTCTTAGATAAAGTACGCGTCATAGTTTCAACGCGCGAACATTGTTGATATGTACCTTTCTTTGGACCCGCGTATATTCGGTTCAACTTGATGACAGCTGCACCAGAAATGAGAGCTCACGTCGAACACTTGCACACATATCTTGACTCTGGCAAGATTTCTTGCCTTCAACTGGCTTGAAGACTTCATCTGTAGCATCACGATAGGTCTTGGTTGAAACGATGATCATCTCGCACACGGCAACAAACAGAGAACTACACGCTTTGTTTTATTTATACGCTACCGGTCTACGGGCGTCGCAAATCTATCCCCCTCTTGTCCGCCATGTTGGATCGATCGGAGCGCCCCCTATATTCGCTGAAACTCCTCAATAATCTTTTTCGAATGTCCATGCCATCTGGTAGCTACTGCGCCGATTATCCGTGCGTGCGTGCGCGTGCGTGCGTGCGTGCGTGGGTGCGTGCGTGCACTCTGAACATGTATTGGACATGAGGGTTGCGTCGGCATTCGGCGTGAACTCGGCTCCCATCGAGTGCTACGTCAGCGTTCGACAAGGACTCGGATCCAATCACACGCTTCGTGTGCCCAAGAAAAGTATGACGTCACTGCTCCAAACAAACCGTTGCTAGGAGCGTTGCTATGGGCGTTACTATGGGCGAATACGTGGGATTGGATTTCGTTCTGAAAGAACGAGTAAATCAGCCTTGGGATTTGAACGTCTAGAAGGAATATATATGTATATGAAGCTTAGAACTCGCACTTCCCACGTCAGAAGTTTGCCGAGAAGCGGCTGTCTCTTAAATATTTGCGATGGTAGCTTCCTTTCCTCGAGACGTCTAGAGGTGCCTGCAGGACTGCAGCAAACGACGGATACATGCGGAATATCTGAAGTATGTTGTCTGCAACAGTTTGAATTGTTTGTATAATGACGCGATTTTGGTCTCGTATTTATTGGGAGCATGGCACGTCTAAAAAAAAACTTGTAGGTTTGTAAACAAAAATAAAAATTGAATTTTTGTGCAATAAGGGATACTGTCTGACAAAAATCTTGACACGTATGGAGATCTAAAAATACAGCGAGAGTCTGTTTAGATCATATTATCAAAGCAGCATCAGAACCTATTTGATTTTGCAATTTACGTGCATTGTAACGAAGGGGTAATTATGTTCAACATGATTGGTTCGAACCCCGAAAATCCTTTTACACGCTCGCAATATGGGTCTGTGTTACCTACCAAAACACACACCCATATAGTAGCCATTGCGTGTAGCCATCGCACCGAGAAAAACATCCTGCTGGTTACTTTTTAAAGTAATTTTGTAATTGACGAGTTACTTGTTTTGCGGGAGTAATTTGTAATTTAATTTCGTTGCAAGTATTT